TCTTTGTCAATGATACTCTTTGCGGTGCTTTTTAGGCTTTTTATAAACTGCTGCTGATAGCTCTACCAATTCTACCACCCATTGCTTCTTCCAACGGTAAATATCGTCGATTGTTTTAGGTAGTGTTACCTTTGTCCATGTTAGCATTTTTCCTTACTCCCATTCGATATTCAGGAGAACCCTCAATTGCTGCTACCTGCGAAAGTAAAATGTAATATGGAAGCCTTGTAACATTTTATACTTAGAAGTTCCTAACTGTCACTGTTTACAGATGAGCGTTTAGAAATTTAAACTAATTTCTTCTACATGGACAAAAACAAGGGGCGAATACAGCTTAAACTCATGCACACCCTCCCGGTGGTGCTGATCATTGGAATCTTTGGGAGAAGTTGATCGCCCTAACATCAATTGGTTTAATTTTTAAAACGACACTATTTTTTTCCCATGTTTTAATAACTGATGATAGTATGGGACAAGTCTGTGGGATAAACTCTTACATTAGTAGAAGAGTCATGTCTCTCCATTTGCGAGGACCCAAACGCTACCTTTGCACCACGTGATCTGCTCTTATGATTTTCCATTTTCCCCATCTCATATACTTTTTCCGCTCAGTAGGATAAAAAATAGCGCTTTCGTGGCAGGGACGTAATAATGAGTTTACTGAGCAAAATCGTTTTTCCAAACAGGCAGTGGATGGGAAGGCTCTCAGTTGACGCAATATTAAGCATGGATTAACTTACTAGCGTAATATCGTACAAGGCCAGGAGCAGTTGGAACAATGTACACTTCTCTTTACTCTTACATGGAATAATCAGGTTGGTATTGAATTGAAATTACCTAGTTATGATACAGCGCGATGTTTTTTTGATTTGCTGAGAAAATAAGAAAATAAGCACATCTCTGTGTGTTCCATCTCAGACAGATACCAACAGCATAGACCTAGTTTTTCGAAAGTTAGACCAGTTACCCAAACGAGAAACTGTAAAAAGAGCAACTGCGTGGCCATTTCGAAATCAAACTCGTTTTCTCCATCTCTATTTTACCTTAGTTCCGTAGATCTTGTAATCTGTTTCCATTGTAACACTTGTAATGGCCGTTGCCATGGCGCCATTCACAATTCCAAAGATTATTAAACCGGACAAAATGACAACTATAGCCAGGATTCTTCCTATGATGGTTATTGGTGCTCGATCGCCGTATCTGTGAATGTCGATTTACAAACTCGTTTCAGAGAAGGTATAATTTTGTAGGCCTTTAGATCATGTCCTATCCCAAACTTTACAGTGAGTATATGACTTGAGACACTCACGGAGTAAGGGTCCACCACCACTTACGACCTAGAAGGAGACTTCATTCAATTTCTAGATCGATATTGACCTTAAGGATTGACTCAAGTCTCGATTTTAGTCTAAAGATTACTTGATTGACACTCACCCAACAGTTGTCATGGATACAAATGACCAGTAAAACGACTCATACGCTCCCTCTATAAACGATGGTGGAAAGTCTTGGGGATTGGTCTCCGACTCCTGCACACATGAAAGGAAGGAAAATGAGTTAAATCAAAGTGATTCTGTATTTCCCTTTCTAACTATTCGTTGTTGATCAAGTCTGTCAACAACAATGACAATAAAAGGCAACAACAAATTTTTATTCCTTAGCAATTGAAAGACATATATAGTAGTCCATTCCCGCCAAAATGTGCAGCTAATCGAGGCGAAAGAAATGCGACGTATGGAGACAGTGGAACACTGATTAAAGCTTTGCACTGTGCAAATTCAGAAACCAAGAGTTACCCAAATCATCAATGGTTTTGTGTTCTGTCGTTGGGTACCTTATTGAAATTGCATTGGAACAAGCTATAACTTGCTAATGCCAATTTTGCGACGCACTTCGGATCTTTTGACGACAAATATCATGATCTTTGACCAGGAATTAACCTCACAGACTGTCTTGGTAGCTCTCAATATTGTGCAATCCTCAGTCGTTATGCAGTGAAACCGAATGATCGACTTACCACAAACCATACGACCAGCCCTGCCAAGTACGTGATTACCAAAGCCAACATCACCGCTGGCCAACAGGACGCTATGTTTACCAGGACAGCATTGGGCATATTATCCTGGGAGTTTGTGTTAACTATGAACGCCATTCCAGGTGATTCAACTATTCCTTGGTAACCAAACTGTTTGGCAAAATGTGTCTGGTCTTTAAAGCCGTACACCGGAAAGAAAAAGTCTGTGGGATTTTCTATACCGTTCCGTAGTGCACGTAGACTCGGGAACATTGCTGACACATTGAACCCATTTAAATTCATGTCCACGTAAGATTTACCATGTGATTGACAGGTTTCGCAGCACGTGACTGCTAGATCGCTAAGGATAGGTGGAATAAGTCCGTCTGGGAGACCGTTTTCGGACAATCGGACATATGGTTGAAATTCGTACCAACTTGTTGTGAGCCGCTTATGACAGCGACAGGTTTCTGTAAATAATTGTAATTTTTAAAATAAGAGATATTATCACATATTATCACCATTCCGTCGAGAACGTGACAAACCTGCATAATCCGTGGCCGGCGGGCCGTCGCCCATGATCGTAAATCCCACAACATCAATCCGGTACAAGATAAAAATCTCAAGATTTGTCAGCACCAGAGACAAAGTAGAGGAATTCACTATCTGCTCCCTGATAGGTTTGTCTTCAACTGACTCCTCGCCAATCTCAACGGCCTGGTACCTAATCTTGTAACCAAGCAATATGCCATTGATATGATCTGGAACGATTGGTTTCCAGGCAACTGGAATTGTTGTCAATGTTACGTGACTTTCAGTAGTTATACTCTGTGGAGGTTTACTGGGGACTGGAAAGCAGCATTTTTAACGGTTGTCAGTAAAAGACCAAAAGGAAAAACAAAATTGCTATAATTATTTTGAGTATAAAATCCCAGTCAGCCCATATAATTTACATAATATGAAAATAACCTGCCATCAAGAATCTTGTATGATTCCCAGTTTTTACAATCAATAACGTCATACGAAAGAAACATACCGTCTTGACCCGTCCGTGCTTTAAGTTTGTTTTCAGGTCCATATCCCTCAGTTGTGAAGGCACGAACTTGAATAGAGTAGAAAGTAAATTTCTTTAAATTATCAAGAATCATCCAGCGGAGAAGTGGTTGGCCTTCCCTCTCTTCCACTGTGCCATTGAATGGAATCTCATGGAATTGAATTTTGAACCCCCTTATGATGCCATTTTCAAACTGCGGAGGGATTGCACCCCATTCAACAAAGAGACTGGTGGAGCTTGGAGCCAAGTATGTGATGTATAGAGGAGGTCGGTCCGGAGCTATTGATGACGAGACAACGACAAGTTAGTGCTTGAGTTGAATTTGAAGGAAGAAACTTGTCAGCAATGCATGCTTAAAAAAGGCAGTTTGAAGAAGAAAAACTTACTGTCCTCTTGTGTTGTTACAAATAAAGAGTTACTCGGCAACCCGTCTGTGGTCGTAAAGGCTGTTGCCCAGATTTGATACTTGGTAAATTTGTATAAGCCGGTTAGCTCAACTTCAGTCACAGATATGCCAACTGACACGTTTTTTAACACACTTGGATGAACAGAACTTGGCGCTTCTTTGTAATAAACCGTGTAACCTCGGAGAATACCCCGGAGATTTGGTAGAACAAGTGAACTCCACTGAACAAAGATTGATGTCGAACTTTTTGCTTCTCCTGTCAAATTAGCTGGAGGTTTGAATGGAGCTATGAAAAAAGATTTAAGAATTATTTCCTTTTGCTCGCTCGACTGAACAGTATCTTTAAGCGTGGTTTTACCCACAAACGCCACTAGGAAATATCGTGTAATTGAGAATGAAGCCCAACGCTCTGCTGTTGAATATACCTTAGAACTTTGGTTAGGAAATTCTTAGTAAGCATGCATTTCAATTTCTTAAATAGCGAGATATGGCTATTTTTAGGGGGTATGCTTAAGTGACGCATTTAAGCCTGATTTAAATGATGAGCTGCTGGTTTACCTTCTTCATCTGTATCTTCTTTTATAAAATCACTCCAAGGGCCATCTCCCATGACAGTGAAAGCTGTCATCTTTATGGTGTAATTCGTCCATATTTCTAAACCGGTGATGTCTATCGTGAGGGCTGAGGTATTTAATGTGAAATTTCTTAGAATGGTTCCATTTATGTGGATAAGGATGAGCTTGTAACCGATGCCAATTCCATTAATGGTTTCGTAAGGCACAGGAGACCAATGGACTTTTAATAAAGTGGGTTCTATTCCTTTTGCTCTGATGTTGACTGGCGGCTCATCTGGGACTGCGGTAACAAGAAAAAACTGGTTTGGAGAAAAATTTAGATTGTTATACGTAAAGTGAGTTTGAGCGATGGTTTAAGTTCTGGGATGGCACTATGGTACTTGTCCTTCTTAAAGTCTACTGAAAAATTTATATTGAAAAGCTATTTCCTCGATAATGGAATTTATTACCACAATTCAAGAAAAAGCTAATAAGATGAGTAAGCACATGAACAAATTGTTGCCTACTGAGAAATGGGTTACATACCGTCTTGTTCAGTTCGCACAAAAACAACTTCCGAGTAATTCCCCAAACCAACCACCGTTGATCCAGCGACTTGAATTGAATATTCTTTGTACTTTCCCAATCCTTTCAGTTCCACTTGTAGTTCTGTACTGTTTACTGTGACGTTGGAAACGTTATCATTTGGTTTATCACGTCTCCAGTATTTAACTTGATACGTCAGGATAATCCCATGCGTATGATCTGGAGGGATGGGCTGCCAGGTGACGTTAATACTCGTGGAACTGGTATTGAACGCGGTCACGTTTGTTGGCGGATGATCTGGTACTTAAAGCGTAGAAAGGAATGATTACCGTCACTTACAATGAACACACAGGTAGATAGTATTCCATTCCTTGTAGTTCAATATGTAACCTAAAACATTTTATTCCAGAAATGGTTCTAATCAGCACCATTGAGGCAAAGAAAAAAACCAACGAAATGACGAAAAGTGATCTGTACTCGACTTACTTCTCTGACATTTGTTCGTATAAGTGTGACAAATACCACTCCCCTATGAGAATTTAATTCAGTGGAAATTCCTCGAATGCAAACATCGATTGTCAGTTTTCCTGAAGTTTCAGCGGTTATTTATGATGATATGTCGTATGGTAATTGAGAAACGATCTTATCTAATCTAACACAGTCAGTCATGATATATCAAGGTGCGGGTAGGTGGTAGAGGTTTGGTCATAGGTTGAATAACCTTTTGAAAACATAGCTTGTTTTAGAAAAACATGTATGAGTCAGACTTATCACAACCCTAATACCACACCACATATTCCGTAAACTTCGTTCAAGATTCATTCGTTTTCAGATGCAATGGTGTCATACCATCTTGTGCTGTGGTAAAATTTGCTGCCAAAGTTGGGACGCCATCTTTTACAGTGAATGCCAACACCGTGACTGTGTAAGTTGAGTAACTTTCTAAGTTGGTGAGAATGAAGCCCAATGTTTCGTTCTCAGTACTTCTTTTCCTGCGCCTGTTGTGAGTAGCGTTGATAAGCAAGGTCGTCCAGGTGTGATTTGGAGAATTGCTTTTACCATAGGTGACTTTATACCCCCGAAGTACACCATTGATATGGTACTTGTCGACTGGTTTCAGCTGGAAGGTTAATTCCGACTCAGTGCTGTGTTTAATACTGAAGTTCCTCGGAGGTTCGCTGGGAGCTGTTGAGTTTACACAAGCATTGAGTAAAGATGAAAATAGAAATATTAAAAATTATCTGGTATAGAGTCACTCTCAGGGTTTATTAAACTGTTGATAAACAACGTACACAAGAACAAAAAATTTTTTCATTGAATTAACTGACCCAGAGTGGAACTTTAATTTTCCGTTACTCTTCAATGAAATAAAACTTAGAAGATGTTTTACTCCTGTATCAACTCGATCATGAAAGACAGAAAGGACGAGTGGCTGGTTGAGCGTGAGCCTAATGGACTGTTCGTCGTCCCTTGTTGAGCATCGATAAACCAATGAAATAAATGTTCAGATAAACAGTCCAACTCTCGGTGAATATACCAGCTGGCACTTGAGTAAGAAGTAATAGTGATCAAACGAAATGATGAGAGTTACCGGCGATGGACGTGCACAACGCTTAGCAGTTCTAGTCTAGCAGTTCTTCCTTATCATTTCATGCTCAGGGAGTTTTAAGAGGCCTCGATCCAATCCCACCTCCGCTTAAGCCTTAAGATATGTTATTCATCTCAACCTACCGTCTTCTTGTGTTTTTATGCTGATAACATCAGTGATATTTCCTTCCCATGAACTTGTGACACCATAAACTTTGAATTCATAGGGCGTGTATGGTTTCAAAATGTTCAGGTCTGCACTTGTCATGGACGAGTTAACCGTGTAGTTAAAGCTTTCTCCTCTCAGCAAATCAACTATTTCTATTACATAACTCTTTACATGTTCGCCCAACTTTAGCGTATCCGGTGGCTTCCATTGGAGACCGACACCAGTTGAGCTCGCAACAGAGGACGTTATATTAACTTTTTCTAACGTGATTTCTAGTGGAAGTCAAATCACAAGTTTTTAGTGAGAGACAAAATTGCAAGGAATTCTTGTAGGCACAAAGTTTCCAAGACAGAAGGTTTTTTTTTACATTTTCCTTTACTCTTTGCTTGCTACTCACGTTTATTAGTCAATAAGGTTATTTTACCTGCTTTGTATTTCACTCACACAGATAATTTTTGTGAAAACGGAGTCGCTTGAACATCATTTTAGTATTGTTTTTGGTTTCTCTCTGAGAATTATTATAATTTCTGTTGTTTTATACCTTAATTGCGCCGTATCTCATCTTGTTCCCTACAACATCACGGTTACAGTAACACGTCATCTTTACTCCAAAGAGCAGAAGTGTAACTGTCACTTCCTTTTGCACCCTAAGCTCTCAGCGCCTCTGTTTATGTACCTGGTTTGTGGACAGGCTTATTTATTAAGCCAATGCTATGCCCTTGGAGTGATTACTCCACAGGAAAATATTGGGAACGAAATTCGACGAAAAAATTAACTGATTACAATATATCAAATTCTATTTTACAAAGTGATAATGATGAATTTAATTAAGTTACCTTTATGACAGGTAAAGAACTCAGCTCTTATGCATGGGTTCCCTTCCCACGATTTTGGCAAAATACGAATATACCGCGTGTAGATCACTGGTGTTATGGAGTTAAAAACTACGGTGTTGCTATCCCAGTTACCTTGAAATATCTGCGGAGGGACAGAACGGTGGAAATTCGTTAATGTAAATGGAAGTGGATCCCCTAAACGTGCCTCTTTAAGGGGAACGCACTTCCAAGAAAAAGAAGACTGTGTCTGAGAATGAGCTGTGGAGACGTAAACGAGAGAGATTTTTCATGAACACCATATCAGGAACGAACTGTGGACGTGTTTTTGCGGAAGATTTTTTCGTTTCCAAGAAGACAAAACAGTATCCAAAGAGTGACCTTTAGAATAGGTCTGGGGTTTTATAATAGCACTTTTCCTGGACGAAACCATTGTAAAAGTATGGCACAACTCATAAAAATACTCAGCGATACTACACATCCAAACGTCCAATAAGATATGTGTATTTAACCTATGGTTGCAATGAACTATGGTCCATGCAGAGGGTTCAGTCAAGTTTCGAATATTTCGAACTTCAAAGAATCCTCACTGAAGAAAAACTAGGAGTTCATATTTTGAAATAGCTTACAATTTGGGTAACAAGAGACTTGTACTTCAAAAAGTAAGGAGGGAAATAACAAAATATAACTTATGAGCAACGATGATACCTTAACATCATCAAACTGTTTATAAGCTTTGAAATACATCCCATCGAGGCTGTAATTTAATGAGTACTTTTCCACCCAGTGAAAGAAACTGCTACTAACTGCGCTGCCATCATAAAATCTGCCTTGAATGGCTACTTGGCTTAAAGTTACTTTGTCTTGAAAGTCAATTTGAAGCCACGGTTGGCTTGTATCATCCGGGGCAGCACACCAGGCTCCAGTGGCGAGTAGATTCGTTGGTTTGAAATTCAGTCGAGCGTTGGTTGCGCCATTTTGTAAAGAGGATGCAGTTATTTGTGACTCTGTTATGTTATGGTCTTCCATTCCAATGGCGTTACAATCTATCAGAAGAAACCAGGTAAAAACAGATCAAAAATTTAATATTTCCCTAACATAGAGTAAATAGAGAGAGAGAGAGGCAGCCAAGAAACCTATGAAAGATAGTGATAAAAAAACTGGGAAGACTCATTTTTGGTTGGGCAATCGTTAGGCCAAAGCGCGGGCATGGTTCCGCGGCGGAACAAGATAGCGGTCTCATTTGCAAGCCGTTACGTAATGCATGAGAAACAAAAAAGAAAGGGCGGGAAACTTTTGTGCAGCGCTAAGTCATGAGCATCTGAAACCATCACAACACGTTACAAAACGCTTAAATCTTAAGTTTGCAAATCCTCTTGAACAAGTGCTTGTTTAGAACAAGTACGTGTTCAAAAGGGTTGGCTAGATTATGAGAATAATAAAACTAGTTCCTGGTAGAGCTGACCGTTACTTTTGTGGTATTACTATTATGAGTGAGGTGCTGCGTTAAAGAAAATGGGAAAGCCCGATAGTTTGGTTTGATTGAAATGCACTCATTTCGGTAGTTCTCCAAATTTTCTGTTAAGAGAGATAGTAAAGACATCATGGAGTTGTTCTTTGCCAGCGTAAAAACCTACCATCCTCGCTAGTAATCACTGTGACGTAATCACTGAAGTTACTGAAGCCCTTTGATGTGAAGCTTGCCACTTTGATTTTATAAACCTTAGATTTCTCCAGTCCATGGATCTCCTGGGTAAAATTTTTTTTGCAGACATAGAAAGATTTATCGATTTCCTCAACTACAACAACATGACCCATTATAATTCCATTGGTGTTTTCCTTTGGAATAGCCATCCATTTTACTGTTACGCTTGTGTAGCTCGTGCTGTGGGCCATAACTACTGGAGGCGCAAGGCTGGGAACTAGTATAAACAAGATAAATCAAGGTGAAGTGAGACATTGGAGGCTATAAACAGTGAGACCCTCATTCAGAATGCAGCCCAGAAGGTTACCTATCGTTTTATATACAGTCGTTTTTCAGGCCTTATTTTCACTACTGCCTAAGTAGTGCACATCACTGCGAGGATCACTTTCATTCACGTCTTTATCCGCAGTTCAAATATATGACTTTCATATATTCTTAACCGTCTTTATCAACTAAGTTGATAATGTAAAATGGCCACCGCAAAGATTTTCTAAGCTAACTCTTCGAGCTTTCACCCTTCGTTCATTCGCTCTGACAATGTGCTCACGCTTTAAACGTTTGCTTAGAAACTCTTTACGGTGACCAATTTACATAAAAAGGTGTCCCTTAATTAGAGGGTTTTCTTCGATGAACGTTATAATTTCGACGGTTACTACAGCATTTTCTCGTAAAAACAAAATTTTGTGTTCCTTGAACGGAGGTCAATCGTGAATAGTGTCATAAGTGTTATAACAGAGAAGTTACGCAATACTTTCTTGGTTGAAAAATGGTTAAGTTTACTATGAAAACCACGAGTAACCTTTTTTAGAAATTTCGTTAAGCTTCATGCAGAGAAACACTGTGCTGCGTGGTTTTTTTTAAGGTTGAAATGTATTGTTGCTGCATTCTAACCCTACTTTGCATTTGGGAAGAGGGAAATTGCTAAAGAAAGAGCAATCATAAAGACTATGTTGTATGTAATAAGATGTTTAGACAAAAATGATTCTTACCTCCTTCGGGTGATCTAGCCACAATTGCTGGACTTGGTGGACCTTCGCCAACGCTATTAAACGCTGTAATTTCTATCACGTAAGGTATCCCTTTCGGAAGGTTTTGTAGTTCTGTTGAGAGACTGGAAGTGTTCACCACCATGCCCCGTGAATTTCCACCACTTTGTGGAACATATGTGATTTTGTAACCTAGAATAATACCGAGACGGTGCTCCGAAGGAAGTGGCTCCCATGAGACTTCTAGCTTCTCGGTAGATTTGTTGACGAAGACCTTCACGTTCAGCGGTGGCGAGGTTGGAACTGGGAAAAATGAAAGAGAAGAGAGACCCAAATCATGAAAAAGGGAAATATTGAGAAGATTCTCCCAATTTGGTGTCTTTTGTGTGGAGTGGGATTTCTGAACTGTGGTGTTACATGGAGTGGGATTTCAAAAGGACTAACTTGTAACATGGTGGTGACATGACAGTGGTGGCAAAGTTGGAACGAAGAAAAAAATTATTCAAAAGAGAAACCCAGATCATTAAAAGGATAGTATCTAGAAGATTCTCCTAATTTGGTATCTTTGATGTGGAGTCGGATTTCGAAAAGACTGACTTGTAACACAGCCTCATATTTTCCACATGTGGACGCGTAAGCGGTTGACAGTGAGATTTGAAATAAGGAAGGTTACCTGAGAAAGAATTCCCATTCATACTGGTCTTACTTGCTACTTTAAGTTTCTGGAACTCGAGTTGATAATCAAGCAATCGAAAGAGTTCGTGGCACCTATGTTAGTATGCAAACGTTCTGGCTGTGAACGCTTTTGAGTGCATTTTCCGTTTGTGAACCTCAAATTTGAGTACATCTGTAGACTTCAATCCCAAAACGTGTCCAATTTTTAATTATTCACCCGCGTTTATAACTTACCACCTTCGGATGTTCTTGCAATCGCCTCATCGCTTTCCTTTCCTTTTCCTTCGTGAGTAAAAGGCGTGACAGTTATGGCGTATAAAGTATAAGGCTTTAGGTTTTTAACCTCAAATTCTGTCGACCCAGACGTAACTCCGACAATCTGTCTCTCTACTGAGTTAATTACACGGTACGAGATGTCGACCGCGCAAAAAATGCCATGAATTAATTGTTCAGGATAATTCCAAGACACTGCCAGAGAAGTCGAGCTTTTGTTCTGTGCTGTTACGTGGAGCGAGTGGATGTAAACTGCAAGAAATGTGAACAAGTTGTGACGATACAACATTACAGGCGTGAGAAAAATATAAGGTTTACTTTTCGATGAAACGGTGTAATTAGTTTAAACTGAAATATCTAGGTCTCGGTTCAGATTGAACTCAGCAGGGAAGCTAGAACGTCTTATTATTATTATTATTATTTTATTATTATTATTATTATTATTATTATTATTATTATTATTATTATTATTATAGCTCAAAGAGAACCTTAAGAAACTGTGTTCTCTACAGTTACAGTATACATAATACAGTTCACAAAAAATTCTAAAACAGTAGATTGTAATACCGATTGATCACATCTAAGTTTTCTTGAAGCTCTCTAAATAACCAACTGAAGCGGACTATTGATGGGGGAATCAAAGCGTCCAGAGAATAGGAGTCACTTTTCTTTACTCTGTACGCGCTAATAATTTATGCTATTCATTTGGTACTTTGCTAATTATCCTGAGTAAAAACATTGCTAGTTAAACAGTCTTGTGAAACTATATGATTAAGACTCTGGAATAGAGTTTAAACTTCCAAATTAAATTTTGCAAGAACTGAAACTTAGTTTGCGATGATTTCCATTCTCGGTCTCGCGATTTTCTTGCTTCACCCGAAAATGTCAGATTGTTCTCGATTTCAGCATTAACAAAAAACCTCGAGGTTTGCTTACAGCCGACTTGTTGTCACAAAGAGAGGAGACGGACTTACTGTCATTAGCTGTCAGTTTGGAAAGTAATCTTATGGGTCGATTACCCAGCATGCTTTGCGACACGAGGCTTGTCTGGAGCGGTTCTATCTCTCTGTACTCAGTTCCTTTGAATCTGATAGTAAAGTTCGCCGCCACGTTGGTGACATTCCTGCGAAAATTGCATCACAAATCATGTTATCTCTTGATCAAGGTGGTGGGATGTACCCTTTCTTTAAGGGTAATCACAAGAGGAACAGGAGTAAAAACAAAGTTTACAGAATTACTTGAAATAAGTTGCAAAGAGGTGAAGGGTGCAAAAATGAAAAAAACAAAAACAAAACAAAAACAGAAAACATTCACGGCTAAGAGATCGGTTAAAACGAAAACAGGAGAAAAACTTAGGTCGCAAAGAAGCGTGTTACCTGGGTGCAAAGCCTTTATATACCACATTGTAAAAACCTTGACAATTAAAAAGCGCTGGAAATGAACGAAGAGACCCAAATGCTTTGTGGGTGTTCTTGTACATGATTGCCATAACCTTTTGCGCATGGTCAATGACAGGAGGCATCCACGTTTTTGTAAAATAAAAGAGTTTTAATAAAGATAAGATTTTAATTGTTAAACGAGAAAAGTAAATCACTCATTATGCTAACTTAGAATGACTACCCATAGAGCCGTTGATCTCTTCATTCATAATTCATGGTTATACAATGCTTTTGAAGTCTCTTTTGTATGGCATGAGATGATAATATTAATAAGAGATTTTTGGGGTTGATTGAATAGTTTTCCCAATGGCCGGACGACAACCAGAAAGAACGAGAGAGACTTAGGGAAAATGCAGTTTGAGAAGCTGGTAAAGAAAAGCAGGCGAGGAGTGTAACATATTACTACGTGATAATTAACACCTATTGTAAGTTATATTGTGTGTAAGCATATTTAAGTAAGCTGGTACATTATGCAAAAGCACATAGAGCACACACACGGTGTGCAAGAGTTGAATGCAATAAAGTCTTCGATTTTATATACGTCTGAAGGAGAAACTTGCTTAAATAGCTTTGGCTAAACTCACTCTGACGAAGGGCTAACGCTCGAAACGTCAGCTTTTAAACTCTTTACGTTGGCCAATTTTCGTTATCAACTCAGTTAATAATACTAAATTACCCCGTTATACACTCCCACCGCCGCAGCACCACAGTTTCTTTAGAAACTTACCCCCTTTATCCATTTGGCTAAAAAAATTGTTGGAAAATTATTGACCGCAATGCCTCTCGGTCCATATGATATGAGATGTTACGTTGTGCAATTTTATCACACCAAACAGAGAGCTTTTGTTATCATTCTCTCAATTATCTACGGTAATTAAGATGTTTGTAATAGGCGGATAGTTATTACCAAAACACAAAGTTATCCACTGATAACAACGAATTGTTCTGATGGAGGCTCATAACCTGCGAGAAAGGAAAACATGAAGTGTATCAGTCAATACTGAGCATTCATTCCACGTGTAATGTGTTTCAAATTGCGAAAATACCATTGATTATACTCCAGGTTACTTCGTTTCTAGGTTTATTGTCTACTTCTGTCAAATTCTTACAGAGAAACTAAGAAATTTTTGAAAAAATAATGATACGCCTACCGTTGGGGACAATTGACTATAATTTGAGAATGTTAACTTAGTTGGTTCCTCTCAGAGCGAGCGGCAGGCGAACAGCAGAAAGTTCGCTCTGACGAAAAGCTCGTGCTCTGAACGTCAGCTTTAGATTCTCTTTATGGTGGCAAATTCACATTATTAATTCAGTTTATAAAAACAAAATTTTCCAGTGATACCTCCCTAGGGGTGAAAAGGTTAAGGAAAGACACTAGACAACTGGTTACTGTACACGAAATCGATGGATATCTTCTTTGTTCCAGATTTTGTGAGTTTTACACTCATGTCTTGCTAACTGAAATATCTCCTTACCTGACTCTCTATCCAAGTGGATGTGTGCTTGAAAATTTCAGAAGTAATATTCCTATACTCGAGGTTAAATTCTTCATCAGTCAATTCCAAACTCACATTCACGTGAAGATTGGCTCTGCCTATATAAGATCACAGAATAGCGTCAGAAAACAACCATTATGGGCGGAATGCACTTTGCACATGAGCATCAGTGATGAAAAAATTGCGATTAAAAGTCATTTGTCCTCCAGGGTTGCATTGGTTACGCCTCTTTACAATCTGTGATTGGTTTAGAAAATTTGCGTTAACCTCTTTCCCAATCCGACGATTTCCTTACTTCTTTTTTGCGAGAAGGGCTGACAAGTCAGTTTTTAAAAACTGGCTCCGACGTTCTACCGACTACCTTGATAGACTTTTGGCTCTTTATAACAGGGAAATGTAGTAGTTGAGACCATCCTTACCTTCGTAGTAACTGAACAACTCTTCCACCTCCGACGTGGAAAGCAATTTTAACCAAACAATGATGTCATCAAAAGACGCTTTCGGTAAAGTGTGAGAACCTATTGTGAAGTCAAAGTTGGTTATCTCCGGATAGTTACGGGCCTCACAAGTATTCTGAAGCAAATCATCAACTGCTTTCCCATTACGATACACAGTCATGTCCTCAGATAGTTTATTATTCACTTTTTTCCATGTGAATACCCAATGAGTCCAGACTCCTTGAGGGGCATGAAACTTTACGAAACATCGCCCATTTCCGACCGTCACTCGAAATGTCAGTTCCTCCTTGCTCCCGTCCATCTGGAAGAGATGAATCCCTCTTCCACCTGACACTTCTTCTGCCGAAGCCAGGAAAGTTTGGAAGTCGGGGGGAACTTTGCTATGGTACAGAAGCCACAGAGCTACCGTTACTTGGGCGCTCTTAAGTGGCCAAACGAGATATGATTTTTCTGAGTCGTCGTGTAATCTGATTGGTCCAGCTCCGCCAGCAGTTGAAACAGCTCTGCCTCGCACACCAGTGGTTGATTGTAAAAGGGCGCTCCTTTCAGCCCAAGTTTTTCCCGGAAGGTCTTTAATATCGTTTAAGTGGTCAAACGTCCATACGTACTCTGCTTGTGCAAGCAACTCATCTGCCTTGAAAACGTTATATTCAGACCCTGTATTGGTAATTGCAAAGACAAACTCTTTGGTACTACGAAACTTTATTTTTCGCATTATAACAACACATTTCGGTTTATAAGTTTATCAGTTTTTCTGTCTAACATAAACAAAGTTTCGCTATTATCATGATTATTAATTATTCCCTTACCCCGGCATTTTGCCATATTAAGGAAATGGGAGGTGCAAGGAAAGCGGAGCAACAAAATGGCGTACCAAACCATCCAAACTTCAATTTTTTTAGACTTGTATTTTAAGGAAACGAACTTTGAGCGCATCAGGTTATTTTGTTGACACAAAGAACACTATAATGATTTCGTTTGTGTTGTTTTCTTCTTTCGCATACGCCTTATGCCGATACGATGCTTAGACAAAACAGCGGGAGTTTTTCTAAAGCTACATACTGACATATTAGTGTAATAATAAATGCCGCGCGTTGAAAAATGTTTGAGGGATGATAGACACAAAAGCTTCCATTTAGCGTAAAGATATCGTGTATTTGCCCTCGGACACTATCTGATCTTCTCAGCCCCCGCCCTTTCTTTTTGCAGAGCTTAGCTCTCGGAAAACTGTTTGCATCTTTCAACGGACTATGTCGGCTGATAAATATCCGTGCATATTTTCGTTCCAAATGGCTATGCTCGTCAGATGAAAAAAGGGGACGGATAAGTTCAAAAGGATCGATGAATCCACCACAGTATTTCGTATAAAGTGAATCAAATGTAGTTACCGCCGCAATCATAAAACTCCACCCTCATGGATATGTGTGACTTCCAAGTCTTCGGCATAACCCGGATGTAACGCGCGAAGATGACTGGATTGATTGTGTTATACACAACAGTGTTCTCATCCCAGTTGGCGTTAAAAATCTGTCAAACAATGCAATTGATTAGTTTCACTGAAAGTTTAAGGACAAAAAAGATGTCACGAATATCTTTTGGTCACACGTTGTTGTCGCATGGAGTTAAAGAGGTTTAGACGACGAAACCTGGGAAAATATCACTTTAAAAAAAAATTTTTCCTCTTAGATAGTTTAGGAGTAGTAGGATGTGATAAGTTTCTCTAACGACGCCAAGTGTCCTCCTCAATATGAAAGGGGAATGGGGTGTAGGGTTCGAAGTACAATACTAGGAAAATTTGGGATCAATATCAGTATCTGGGCAACTACCCACCTACCCCTCCCCTAACCCAACTTTAACATTAACTGTTGTTGAGTTAGGGGAGGGGTAGGTGGGCAGTTGCTCAGATACTGATATTGATCCAAAAATTGCCGTTAGTGGTCCCGTTCTCAGAATTTGCAAAGTTATGCGATCTCAGTTCTTGTTTTGGAAGGAAATGAAAAAAGTTGCAAAACGTGCGTGCTGAGCTACTCTTCAGTTCATTAAATCTGATGTATCGTCACCCTGTCATCGCCATCGCCATCGCCGTCGCGATTGTTTTTAAAGTCCCTTTAGACTGACCATGCTCAGTTGAGAAAGTTTAATATCGGCCATGTTCGTTTATGCTTTTTTTATACGCCTCGATGACCTTGGGCCATTATAACAACGAAAAAGTAAACAAGGTAATTTTCAGAATAAATGACTTGGTGGTTGGTCAATGCCTGACTCGAATATTTCCCTTTACATATTGGATTTTACGTCAGTCGGGCTCACCTCATTTGTACCGCACTTTCTATGTTCCACGAAGTTCGTTCCATCCAAGCTATGAGACAAGGAATAACTCTTCACCCATTGAGGGTAGGTTTTCCTTCCTTGAGTGGCCACTTTGGATACTGTTGTTTTAACTAGAAAATCGATTTGCAACCACTGGTTGACATCATTTCTGCGTGCCGCCCAGGCACAAGCGTTAGCAGCATTGTTCAGCCGTGCGTTGGGAGCCCCGTGATGAGATGAAGGGGCGAATTCAGACGAGCCCGTGATCTGCGAGTCAAGTATGCTTCCACTCTCCATACCCAGGGGACGACAACCGGCATCTGCAAACGACCGGAACATAGTGAATCAATCTGTTTACATTTTTGTGAATAATTGTAACGAGTGGTTCGTGATACAGAACTTAGTTCAATTTCGAGACACCAGTGATAACCGCATTACCTTCATCGACATCTCAATTAGGTCGGCAATAGCCGGTTAGACAACACACCAACCACTTACAAAATGCAAAAGTAAAAATGAAAATTTGAAGACGTCTTTCTTACAGTAAGGTTCAAGAAGCTTAAGCCTATGACTGCGCCTGGTATGGGTTTCATTACTAAAATTCTAACAGATAGAGTCGTCACTTGACAGAGCTCAGTTCATTTTTTTCTTAGAATAGTCTTCTGGAAAGAAATCATGTGATATCAGTAAGGATTGCAAGGGTCTAGCAACAACCTAAATGATGAATATGATATACGACGCCACAATGCTATCCTATATAGACTAGGGAGGGTAGCAATTTTAAGTACTCTGTTCCTTTTTTAAAATTTTTGTATGATAAATCATGGCTCGTCGAGAGACTTTTGTCAAGTTTTTACAAAGAAATTCGGCGTGTTATTGGTTTTACTTTAAATTCATTGGTATTGACTATGTACTTGATCAGAATCTGTAAGCATCAGTCATAATACAGTTTGAGTACTGTAGCAATAACTTCATATCTTTACATTCACCTTCACTTGTGAAGCTTTCAAGTTCGCTATCTGTATGATAGCAATTTGACTTCTTGATTGTGTCATATCGACTTCTATCCCTGATTAGAGCATCTTCATAGTAGCATCGCCAGTTACGCACTGAGTCAGCGGTATGCCTGATGTCGTATCGTGCAAATAATCGACCTGAACAGCTGATTGGCCTTTGATGTTCCCATCGTTCCTTGCAGTTCTTGTCCCTTAGTTGTCGCAACTCTAATGCGGGACAGAAATAGAAATAATTGAACCACAAATAGAAGTGAACGATAAGTCATTTATGGCAAATAATGTACCTAACATTGATGAGATAACAGGCTATGGCGTAAAATCATATGCAGTGGTTCTAGACTCCCCTTTTGGGGGTACACAGTTGCTCTTTTATTTTTCATTTAACACCCTGAAAGAGAATTCTGATAGAAATGTTGCATTCTTTGATTTATTAATATCAGAAAAAATAATATAAAGCTTTTGTATCGCAAATTTGAATTTTAGGTAAATATCACATTTTATACTCTGTCGCTAATTAAAAAGACCTGATAATCGGTGCTTAGTACCTTTGGATATTGAATTACGTGTTTTCCATTGCATAATGCAAGTAGGTGTCAGAGTAGGAGGATAAAAGCAAATCTTACGTTACTTTCCATTGCATAATACAAGTAGGTGTCAGAGGTGGAAGATAAAAGCAAATCTTACGTTAAATACTTGAAAAAACTTCGTAGTTGTTCGTTTGGGCTTTCGGAATTATACAAATGTTGTGGCCACAACATTACGCTAGTGATCAGGAATTTAAGTCACAAAATATGGAAAACGAAGGATCGAAACTAGTCAAAGGAAAAAAAAAAGAGTTATGTGTGATTGTGAATGACCCATTCGGTTCACCTTGCTTCCTTCTGCACATCTCTTCTTCTCTCCTGGTCGGGTCACAAATGCATTTTCCTGCAATTTCATCACAGCTTTCTCCTTCCCAACAAGGTGGATCGCATAAAGAATCTACGTGTAAATTGATTTGAGATTGAGTTGATTTACTTTACCACGAGTGTGCATGCAGAGAGAAAAGCTGTGAAATTAATGCTTGCCTTCAGTTATGAAATATTCATGTCACTATCTCCTTGACGGCGTAGAACTATTACAGGACCTCTACTTTTAAATGGTGCTGTATAGGGGTTTTACCCAGATCATAGAGGTAAGAACGAGAACCAATTTGTCCAGCAATAGATGGCCTCGTGCAAGAGATTATATCTTATTTTATGAAGATATTCTCAGGCAACTTATTAATCTGCGATGTTTGGACGGGATTTAAAACTCTGTTAAGTGGGGGCCTGTATATAAAAAGCACAGGCCAGATCACAACACCGGGAGTTACGTTACATGGTCTTCGCAAGAAGTGTGTGGGTCCTTAAATATCCCTTGCTAACCAGTACAGAGAAGCTACAGGAGAAGAGGCCCAGCGTTTATTTTCCTTATCCGGAAAGACTTGAATGTCTACCCATTTGAGGATGGCACGGGAAAGGCAGCATATTCTCCTCCTTAGGTTTGTGGTTACTGGTTAGGCATTAATTTTTATCCGAAGAATTATCTGGCATAGCTGGAGCGGTTACGCATTCGATTCGGATGCTTTGTTGCCTACCTCCAATTACAAAAACCTGAAGATCATCAGCCTGGAAAGACGTTTGTCCGGTAAAATATTTACTGACAGTTGCATCAGTAATTCCACTGACGTTAAATACTCCACCGATAATGATTCCCGTTGCGACATTCTGGTCGTTGAAACAAAGTTCTTGTCTCTCCTCCCCCCAGCACGGCCCTTTATATCTGTGGATATGTAAGGCTTGATGTCTTTTTTCCAGTAACACGTCTAGCTTCTTTGGCTTATCGCTGAAAGGTTTTAAGCTGAAGAGGAATGCGTTGCTAGACGGAAATACTTTATAGGGATGGAAACCTGGAACAAAACGAGTGTCAGTAGATGATGTAAAAAATATCTGTTGATGGAGTGCCAATATATTTTGACCCAAATATAATGCTTTGAGATTCTGGAGTTCAATTTAGGAGTTCAATTCTAATGTTCCTCTGACAAAATTCCGCACCTGGCCTCGAGCCCTAATCAACTGTTATGTGTGCTTGGACTTAGTAGAACTGTGCTCCATTAAGACAAAATAGAACAATTTTTGAGGGCAAGTTGGAGTCGTGATTGATGCGTTTGAAATCTTTGCACTCAACTGAGCCGATGGCATTACGAGAGATAGCTTTTATACATACAAAGCGAATGATGAAAAAGAGAAGTACAGTTATGCCACGTTAATTTAACCTAGTTTACCAACATAGATACAAAATGGCTGATAAATTGTTGCTCACTTTTCCAGCTTTTATCAGAGAATCCCCCAAACACAAATGAATCTATTCTGGCTATAGTGACAGAGGGGCCTCTATTATCACACATTTGGTGAAAGACGAGTTTTTGCCATCCATTGACATGGGCTCTGTAGCATGGAACCCAGTACTTCTCTCCATACCCTGCCTCGGAAAGCCACTTCATTAACATGTCCTGGTAACTAGGAGCGTGGCTGATCATGGCTGAGTGGAATCCTAAGAACAAAGTAAGTTTGATCAAGCAGACTATCAACTTGGCATGTCTCATTTAGCTGTGACCCGAGGAGTGTGATCACCCAAGGGTACAGCGCATAGGTCATGCTTTGACAGCTTTATAGCTTTTTTTCTTCTGCGTATGATGTTCATCATTATTGAAACTACGTTATTGGAAAGTTCAAATTGAGGCTTTTTTATTGTTTAGCCTGCTTTAAAAGACACTATAGAATGGCTTAACCAAATTTCCTAGCAAATCAAAACTAGCGACGTGTGTGGAATTACTGTGGTCGCCATTGATGCTCGCAATTTGGCGTCAACGCTCTGGTTGGCTATCAAACATGTCCCATTCAACAACACTCGTGGAATGTTTGTTAAAAAAACCGCGTGACGCGCTTAATACGGCATGAATTTGTATTCCAAGTAAATATTCTTACTGATGCTTGGCACGTGTACATGCATGCACAGGGGCAATGCAACTTCACCTGTGATCTTCGGGCAGGCTTCAGTTGGAATGCACGTACAGCTGGAGTTCAATCCCGCTTTTATGTTTCGAATCCCAATCTTCCCACCGATCCCGCCATCACTTAGAGCTTCAAACTTGATCTGTCATGAGGACAATAAATAAAAAGATAATGTTTAATAATGCATCGAAGCAACAAGCATTACCATTTACTTTTTTATAAACTCCTTATTGCTGATAAGTTTAACTTATGCCATCATTTGTTTGCTGTGTGATGAACTGAAATTTAACGATACGTAGGTATCATTTCCTAGAGGTCGAAAGACATGTACAAACGTGCGCACAAACATACGTACAAACGTACGTACAAACGTACGCACAAACGTTCAGCTTTTTAGCCAAGAATGATTCCTTTAAGTCAATTTTTCCATTTTATTTTTTCACAATGAAGAAACGTAACCCATCCAAATAATTTTTTGTGCCAAAGTAATAACATATTTCCTCTTTAACTCTTCCCCATTTAAGCAAGTTGTGTCGTTCAGACATTGGAACGATGCAGAGGATTTTGGTGGTCGCTTTGAAGTGGATGACGAGTCATAGTGGTTTTAACCTACGCCATAGTCACTTTACTCATTGTCGTCATCACCCGTTTCTGTCACATTACTAATCATTAATGGCATCAGCATTATCGCCATTATCATCCTTATCACCATCATCATTTTTGTCAACGACAACAAATTCTACTAATCACCTTGAAACCGTGGACTGCATTAAGGGTAACTTGAGCAAATTTCCACTGGTTTCCTTGATCACCAACAAGTCGCCATCGTAAAGATATCGTGTTCTCTTGGTCGACAGTAAAAATATTCAGTCTACTAGCATTTTCTCCTGACATGCTGTAATGAAAGCTTAAGCAATTCACTGTTCCCGCAAGATAATTACTCTCAAGAGCTGAGAGAGTCGTTCTTTGACGAGGGTAGGACATGCTTGCTTGCACGTAGCCTGTTGCTGAACAATAAGAGAGAAAAGTATCAAAATTATATCAATTTAATTAGCAATGTTTTGCATTATGTCATGCAAGCAGGACAGACAAGAATTAATTTTTGAAAGCGTTTCTTTTGCACTAATTAATCTTAAATGCTTATTTTCCAGGACTTTTAGTAATTTGTTTTTCTCAAAAGAAAATACGAGTAAAAATGAGGCGAGTAATGAGATCCGGAAGAACCGCGGCCGAGGTTGGTGCTTCTCGACCTAGCTGCTTCCCTTTCTTACCACAACACAGCTTGCGTCTGCGCATTGGCCTGAACTGGAGCAACCTTTTTTTGACACGAGAAAGAGCGGGAAAGATCCGACGAAACGCGTCGAGAGAGGTTTGTTTCGTTTCAGCCTATTCCCCTTCTTACCAAGAAGTATCTTATCTCCACCTTTCTTTTATCCTTGCATCGAACCGGAAAACAAAAACAACTTGTAGGGCTGAATATTTCTTTTTCTTACCTCTTAGACCTGCTTTCCCACTGTTCACGCTATTGGCGTAACAAACTATTGACCATTTAATCAAATTTAAATGTTTGTGGTTTTGTCTCAGTGCAATTTGGTCAAACATTTTGGAAACTGCAAATTTGATATGAATGTTGGTGAAACTTACCCTCTTCTCGAACTTCAACTTCGCATAATTTCAAGATGCCATTACCAACAATCCTTGTTATGCTAACAAATCTTCCCTTCAGAGGCGAGGGGCAACGAATTCTTTTCCAATGCAACTGTTTAAATCTAAAAGATCCCCCACACGGTGAGTTCTTCTTTAGATTGGGGTTGTCGTGATTTCCTACTCTTATCTGAAGCAAGTAGTTCACTGATACATAAGAGTGTTTGTAGATATATACGTCATGAACTAAAACTTCTCTTTCCAAATCCACTCGCCACCATGGGTCCTTCTGTGAAGTTGTTTTAGTGCATTTCTCTGTGTTTATATTGTAATGACTGCCATCTGTTGCAAAGGAGGAAGCTTTAATTGTGCCTGATTGGGCTGTAGGTTTCTTGAAAGCCGCGTTGTTACTGTCTGAAAACGAAAAAAACTCTTCGCTGAAGGTAGCTTCGCCCAGGAATATTCAATTGAAGTTCTTTGTCATAGTTCCATTATAGCTTGGTTAAAAATTGCTAACGGGCATACACGACTACTGCCCATCGCATGCGATTTTAATCTTCTGCTTTCAAAGGTTAGGTCTCACCAGAATATATTTTAATGACTTTCCCATCAAAACAATCTTGGGAGAGTTGAATCCTTTATAAGCCAAATACTATCTTTTGATAGCTGTGAGTGATCTGAGCTAAAACATTTGAGTTATTTGTGAGTAGGGAACTGCCTATCACAAAGATAATGTTTTGTTTTCGTTTCTCAAGCCATTCGTTATGCGATGGTTGTATGAAAAATGACTGCATCATACATTTCTATTACACTTCGTTCTGAATATTTGAGCTCGAGGTTCCTAATGAAAGTTATGGACTAGGGGTCACCGGGTAGACGACGCTAAATAAATGATAATGATATTTTACCGTGCGTCAGGCCTGAGAAATTGATTACTATTCCTAGTGACTCGAGATATTTTCAACTGACCGACACACTTCCAAAGCATAAAGGGTTCATTCGAGATGGCTGTTTAGTCCTTAGCACGTTTGAAAAGATTTAAACTTTCATTTTCCAACAAAGAAGACAATAATCGGCGATAAATAACGATCGATTCAAGCAACAATTCACTTTTAATAGTTAGCAGGCCTTGCAGTAGATTACAGCCAAACCAAACGTCCAATCGCGAAGCGCCAAGCTTAGCCCCACATACCTTTAACTATGTAAATATTCATGTAATTAGTTGCTCCTTTGCCATTTTTGCAACCGTGGGATGTCTGAGTATAGCTTTTCTCGACATCAGAATACTCGACTGCTGCGGACAAACATTTCCCTCCACTCGCTACAGCGAACATTTTGTTTCCTTTCCTGCGCGCGGCGTGAAGACATTTTTGTACAGCACCCAATCTGGAAACGTGGTTGCCATTCAGTATTGGGTCTGTACCTTCCAGACTTGGTATCGGTGGACCGGAGCCTATTTTAAAACAGCCCATGTTGTGGTATTCTGTAGAAATAACATTGAGAGATATAATATTTTGCAGATACATGAATGGAATTTCTCTAATCCAAAGTTTTATACCTGGTCGGATGTATTTTCGAAATATTTTCGCACGAAGAGACCAGATTTCTAGCCAACGTCGCAGTTGCCTCCTCTGCCTTATCCATCTTTTTTTTCTCACCATGCTACCTCCCCTCCCCCCTTCCCCGCCTCCCCTGCCTGTTTCGAGATTCCACAGAGAAGCCTAATTTTTCGTAAACTGTTCTCTGATGTGTTTCGAGTTCCTCCATGGTTGTTACCATTGCAAATATATCTTAGATAAATCCTCCCTTCTCTTTTTTCGACTCGTGGCGTTTTGAACAATAAGGAGCTAGACACAGATGCCTACTTTTTTCAGGTAGAGATTTTAATGCGATTATCAATCTCGCTGGTATTTGTAAGACGAGTGCTTTGATTTCCGCCTTCTTATTTGAGTTCAGGAGCGCCAAGAGTGCGCAGCCTGGTTACTAAGTTACCTAAAGGTCGTGTCCATGGTTGAATATTCAACACAATCTTTAAAAATCTCAACACGCGAAGAGGAGTGAATTTTTTCTGGCGACGAAGAACATTAAATGGTTTCTGGAGTTGTTTTTGTCTCCAATAAGAGACAGTTTATGATACGATTTCCTTACTTACTAGTGTCTTGGGGTATTACGTCAAACCTTTGCTCATCAGGACTCTCCCGAGGAACACGTTTTAGCTCCCATGGATAATCATAATTGCCAGTATTTTTCCACATGTACCAGGGAAGAGCTATTAAGAGAGAAATGTTAGAGCTTGGATCATTCATGATTTTTGACTGGAATATTTTACTTACTGTAATAATTGTGATATTGACTGTATCAGTGTTTGAGGAAACGTTCACCTCTTACATTTGCATTTTAACTTTAATCATAACAGTTTTGCGTTCAGGGAGGGAAAGCTTCCTAGTTTCTGATGCCAATAGTAAAATGGAGGATGGATTGCAAACCAATTGTTAGTTCAGAGTACACCCTTTAAGGACCGGTCATTATTTAAGTAAAAAAGGGAGGAAAAAAGAAGGGGGGGGAGGGTCAAGGCTATTTCAGATTGGCAAGAGGGGGGGGCTAAACTTATATAAAGAAATTTAGGGGTTCAGAAGACTGAGGTACATTTTAAGAGTTCTCCATTACCCAAGGTGGGTGTCACGCAAAGCAATCATCTTAAAGTTGCATATGACTTAAATTTTGAAAATTACGAGGCATGTGAGAGGAGGTCTGAGGTGACAAGGGAGTCATCACCTTAATATTGAATACAGAAGAAGGGGTCACCTGCTAATTACATCATGGCCTGGGGGGGAGGGGTTGGGGGGGTCGGCTTATAGAAATTGTAATCTTTTCAGCATATCTTTCCCTGCCTCCTCTTATAAATAAATAATAAATAAATAATTAATAAATGGTGACCTGTTCCTCATTTACTAATCCTGTTTTTTAAAGTAAGAAATGTAAATATCGTTAAGCTTTGTGGTCGTGTATTAACATGGAAAGCGCATTTCTGTTTCATTAAATATTTCGCGAAATGAAAGGTTTCTAAGCCCACTGAATTTTAAAGTTGAGTTGTATAACGATGTATGTACACAAGTGTTCCTGACACCATCCTAAAGGTTTCAGCGGGAAAAAAAACGCGCTATATAATCAGCTTACCAATTTTAAGCTCAAAATCTGAGGATTTTAGTTGGCATGTTAGTGGTAATGTCAGCTGTTATCCAATTGCTAAATTTACGAAATAACAAACATTCGAATAAAGGGGGTTAGTTTGTAAAGAAACTGTGGTGCTGCGTCGGTGGAAGAGTACAACAAGATAATTTGGTTTCATCAACTGAGTTGATAATGTAAGTTGGCCTCCGTTAAGAGTTTCAAAGCTGACGTTTCGAGCATTAGCCCTCCATCACGCCCGAAACATCAACTTTGAAACTCTTTGCGGTGGCCAATGTACATTATCGGTTCAGTTGATAAAACCGAACTTATCTTCCTAAAAAAAACATCAGAGATAATTACCGCGGAAAGCAAGAAAAGTGATGCTGACATTTTGTCATTTACCGTTTTATGCCTCTTTCAGGCTTTGTGTTGTTTTCTTGCCTTTGCCAAAGGCTTGCATGATTTTGCTAAACAACGCGCGGTAGAGATTTGTACTCGGCAATCGAATTGGTTACGCCTGTCTTGCGTGCAGAAAACGTACGCGAAACTAGAAATCCATCTTGACTTCTACAATAATTCATTGTGACTCTCAGCCGTGGGTAAAACAATTAAACCATATATTAAGTACATGATTTCTGATACATTTGATATCCTGAATTTTAAATTCGCTTCTAATTACCTGAGCATGCTTGCATGTCTTCCATTTTTTCTGGTGGAATGACCGACTCCCAGATTCTTAGGTCGGAAATCTGCAGATTATGTGTTCTCTTTAAAGGAGAAGTAGTTGACTCCCTTCCGATATAAAACCGTGGGAAGGTACTCTCAGTTGCGTAAAGAAGTCGTGCAGGACTGGTTGACTCGACTGTGAGAACGCCATTCTGATAGAAGCGCAATCCCCATTGATTACTCCACGTGATACCCACGTGTACCCATCCCAGAGGGTAGTCTGGAAGTCTAGCTTCCCAAATGTGAGGGCCCGCGGATACCGACAGATGATATGTTTGTGTAAACTCTTGAAAGCCAAAGACAATTCCAGCGCTGCGTTTGCTAACAGTGCCTGTTGCCAAAATGACGTCTATATTTTCTGCTCGGAAAAAAAAACATAGCAAATCATGTTTGGAAATAGTATTCCATGGTAGAAAAATTTAGCCAGCCTGAAATTAGACCCTCGATATCTTTTTAATTGAAGTGTGGCCATACCAAACAGAGCCCGTGTTTGAATGGAGGACTTTAAATCCCTTAACGTTGTGAAAAATGATTACACTGCATAACACATCGGATAAGAGAACAAAAAAAGTGTAGAAGCTTTGAGTCAAGAACACTTGACAAAGAGGATAATCTGAGTTTCACTTAAAGATTATACTCTATGCAGATCGAGCGCTATGGTCGAGCGCAGAGAGCTGGTGTCGAGTTTAGCCGTTCGCTGGAACGTGATTATGGAAGACTTCGGTGATCCCTTGAAAACTGCCCACCTTAACCCTTAAACAGAATTTCTCCTTACAGCATCAACACAATATCAGGCAGACAAGTAATGGGAGCAAAGAAAATCTCAATTAGTGGATTATTAGTTGACACAATAGTAAATTCTGCAAATTAACATCGTAAGAATTGTATGGCAGACAGTAAGGAGGCTTATTAATGTGATATTGGCTTTGGAAGGGTTAAGGACTTTTGTGAAATGTTGGTTTAAACCTTGTTGATATTCGTGCACATTAAATGTATTCGGTAAAGTTGACATTGCCACTATAATGCCTTTTATAAATGTTTAGATGCATGCAAATTAAAAAGTCATAGATATAACAGAGGTACCCTTTTTGCAAGCAATTTTACGATTTGTAGTGCACAGCACAGTGTTCCATTCTCCAGTGTCTTCTTGCTCCACACATTCTTTGCTATTGTCACTATGATCACCCGATTTCCAGTTTGTAAAGTCGGCCAAGGAACCATCACTCCATCTAAATATGCTCTTGTGCGTGGAATCCCGTCGTAAATCCAGCCACCAACTGTAACCACTTTTCTTTAGGAAGTTGTTTTCTTCTATCGACGTCACTTTGGGTAAGTCAGCACCTCGCACACGACAAGTGTTTACAGCGTGAGACTGTGGTTGTGAATGATCCGAAAACCAGTAACAGGAACCCTGGAAATATTCCCAACCAGAAGGACACCGCGCTGGACAAGAAACAAAAAGGGGAACAAGGTTTTTAATGTTCAGTCTCTATGCGGTCTCTGTAGCGTTGAATATCAATTATGGTGTTGTAGTTCGGCCTCTGAGTAGGGACTGAAATTTTATGCAGGAGGACTTTCAATGAGAAATTCTTGCCAGTAAAAAGTATCCCGTCGACAGAAGTTTTCAAGGAGTGAATATAACTTGAATGTAACTTGAATATAGCTTTAAATTCATTCGGAAACAATAATACCTCCACTGCATGGAAATGTTTCCAGAATAGAGTTTTCCCTAAGGGTAGCTTTTTAATGATCTTTATCATTATAAATTTTGTGAACAGACTGCAAAAGAAAATGGAGCACATCAACAAAAGACAACCTCTAACCTCAACAACTTCCTCAATGAAATATCCTCACCTGATATATAAATCTCCACCCTCATGCAACAACTAGTTGCTGTGTTGCATTCTCTGGCGTTGAACCTTACGAAATGTGCTTTGAATGGAGGTAAAAAAGTTTGCTTCACCACTCCGTTGCCATTAACATTTCCCACAAACTCCTGTAAGGTACAGATAAAAGCATGTGTTACGCATAACTTACGAACTGGTCGTCCAGAAGGAACCCTTAGTGTACTCGTTGGGCTGAGTTCACAGATTGCACTATTTTAGTACCCAAGGCTAATTATGAATATTTTGAGACAGGTAACTTGTGATGTTTCCTTCGCATCCAGCTACTTTGAAAGCACAATGAAATACGTGGAATTGTTTTGTTTTGTTCCATGTCGATACTTATTGATTTTCCTTCGGAAATTAAAGGAGGATGAAGAATCATACCTTCGGTGTCAGCCAAAAAATCACAAATTTTTTCAGTATAAATACTTCAAATATTAACCGAAACAATTTCTGACTATGCAATAGGAACAAGCAATTGAGTCAGCAAGGACCTGTAAACATTCGATTGTAGGAACAGGTGATCAACAGCTTCACGCTTCTGCCGTGAGCTAAACTTTGACCCGAATTGTTTTCCTAATACGGAGTCACCATAGTACCTTAACGTTTCCGTCCTCTTCAAAATTCTCCCAACCTCCACTCGTCGTTTTGTAAGCCAATGTAAACTTCTTTACAAAGCCGTAATTGTCCCGAGCACCTTGGGTGTTTATACCATTTATGTCATAGTCTCGACCAAGGTCTATTTGAAGCCAGGCCCCCACGCTTCCACACCAGGAGGCGTGGCAGTTTCTCAACTCGTGCAGCCGAGCTAGTCTTGGTTCAGTCATACATTTCCAAGAGGATGTTGACCAGTAACTGACGTCGTGAAGAGTGACAGCTGTGAGTAGTGAACACAGGGTAAATTAGCCGTTGAATGGGGCAGATTAGGCGTTAGAGTATTCAGTTATTATTTTTTTGTCGTCATTATTATGTTTTTATTTACTTTACCGATTCTTAAGTCTCAACATTAATGATCCTAGCAGAACGCTTGTCACACACGAACCCAAAGTATGGCTCAGCTCGTTAAGGAGTTCTCAGGAGAAAATGACCGCGAAATCTTAATTCTGAATTTCGATCGCTTGTAGAAGATATTTTTTCCTTTTCCTAAGCTCTTGACAAAACGAATGGCATCCTGTGTTATTTCTCTTCGTTGTCTCTCACGGTTGGAAAATTCTCTGCTTGTTGGCTTCTGTTTTATTATGACTATACGAGTTGCCATGGTCAGTTGTGGAAAAGGCGTGTACAGATTGTGTCTACGTCAATGTACTGGTAGACCATATGGTTGCACGAAGTAGAGGCTGATTTTATGACCATTGGAGATGTCTCACCGAGTCGATAACCTCGAGGGCTCTTGACTCGGGGCCTGTTTCTCGCCTTCGCCAGCTTGGGTCTAAACATTACCAATTACTGGTTGTCAACGATAACCTCTTTGCTCATATTGATTTACTGCATAGGCTTCGGGGCGGGGGAATTCTTCAAACATGCCGACCTCGTGGTTTCCTAATATTAAAACTCTTACTGCAGACAGAGCGAAACCAAATATTTTACCTTTTTCGCAAATGAAATCCAATTCCTTGTCACAGCTTACTGTGTACCAATTTCCAGAACTTTTCGAGAGAGAGGCACACTCGGTTCGGGTGACTTCATAAGCAGGTTCTCCTGCCTTCCATGCAACATACCCAGAATTTGTATGATCATTTGTCCAGTTCATTTTGTTCCCTGGAATCTCTTTAAGTCCAATCCACCTTTCGCTCTCTGTGTTGGCAGCAATGAAATCGTTTTCTTTCTTAGATCCAATGTTGACCAAGCTCGCCGACGAACCCACGCAGGTGGTTTTCGCGGCTTCCCAAGACTTTGAAGTTGTTGAGAAAAAATAACAAGAGCCTCTGAAGTATTTCCAGTTGGGGAGGCAGTACTCTGTACAAAGAATTAAAAAAATAATAAAACTACAACGAAAGAACTTCGACGAAGTTACTTACGTAAATCGCTGGAAGCATTTCTCTCAGGTGAAACTTGTGTACCTGAGGGTTACAGCTCTTACAGCTCTTATCATGCTGTACACGATTCGACTTTGACTCAGTCGGCAGAAATGCAAGAAGTAAACAAACAAACAAACAAAAATCCACTTCCGTCACGTATACAAACTTTCTTGTTCGTTCAACATCCGACGCGCCTTATTACACCGATAAACCGATAGTAGGTGTAATTGCCTTTATAAGATAAACGTCAATATTCTATGAGTCTACTGCTGCAATAAAAGGTAAGTTTTTGACCAATAAGGGTGCTCGTTATCTCAGTTATTTTCTAAATGTATATAAGGACAACCGTATTCTTGTGACTAACCTTTTAATACGCCCACTCTCATGCAGGAGGCCGTTTTTGCGTGTATCACTGTGAATCGCACATAACGTGCAGTGTAACTGTTTGGATAGAAGTAATTCAAAGATCCATTCGAGGTCTACAAACAAAGACAGAGATGTCAGCTTTTTTGTTTCAAATGAAAAAGACACAGAAGAAATCGAGTCCTTAACTCCTTCAAGCACCAGTAGATGAGAATTACTAACCACTTCATGGAGCCATGAGTCACCCAACGATCCATCAAGACGCATGCCTATTTTGTACAAGGTGACTTCAGCGTTTGAGTCATGTGATCCTTGAACTGCCACGCCATATATGGTCTGATCCGTCCCAAGGTCCAATTCGAGCCATTCATTTGCGCCATTAGTGTAAGAACACCATGAACCCTGATTGTTGTCGAAGAAGGCGTGTTCCGGCCGTCCTGGTGCTTCATTATCGTCCAGACTAGAGCTTGCACTCAATTGGGAATCAGAAACCGTCCTTTTGCGCAGTCCAAGCTCGTTAGAAGTGGCTACAAAGAAATGAGAGGAAAAGGGCAGACTTAACACTTTATGTTACCAAATGGCTCGTGTCAGCATTGCAACTTCCAAAATTGCTACCTCTGCACATAACCGCCGTTTATCTTTTCACAATGACGAAAGCTAAAATAAACCTCTGTTTTTCAGTAATATTTGTACAGCAGTGTTGCTTCTTCCTCTGTATTTACGTTAGTTCAACGCAAGATACTGCCTTTCCGGACCTCTAATTTGGATGGGTAGTACCGCACCATCCTAAGACTGAACCTGTTAAATTTCTGCGCAAATCACATATCATCGTAAATAGAGCAAAAGTAAGAGCCACAGTATGACTTTACTGCAGATTATTTCTTTATTTTTTATCCCTTGTATTCGCAGCTAACAAATTGGTTGAGAAGGTTCATTAAGGGTTTATCTCTAGTATGCTAGAAGAGACTTCTAAGTTTCGTAAGTTTTCATTCATATAAATGCACTCCGGCAAAGAATAAACTTGTTCATGTTCGCTCAGTGACTACAAGAACCCTTTTCGATCAATAACGCTGAAAGTAGCTTTCAGGGTGATAAAGATAAATAATTATGTCTGTTTTTGTGTTTATGACCTTACGTAAAATGAAATTCTTGGCCATACCGGCGTAATAAAATGCCTCCAAGTCATCCACTATGAAGTATTTACTCCCGGCCAATAGGGAGTCTCGTTCGTCGATACTAAGAGCCAGACTGCTTGGGAACTTATACGAGTTGTTGAGACTTGTGAAGGATTCTGCGCTCCCAGCAGGTAAAGAGTGGACGTTAATGTCATTTTCTCCAAAAATGGGTCCAAATGTGCTGCTCTGAGTCGCTGCGTGATCTGATTTATCGTTTTCAAGATCCATCTTAAAAGGTGCTATTCCTCGCAAATTTTTCAAGCTGAATATAAATGCATGGTTACTTTTTAAGTAACCGTCCGCACCTGAAAAAACAATTTTTTAAAATATACTTACGCACCTACGATAAGATTGGTATTTATTAGGGCCGTCCCTGCCTTTTAATTTTCAACGAGTCATATCACTCACTCGCTAGAAAATTTTTCCCGCTGTGTAAGATCATTACAGCTGATGAGAGAATCACAAATATAGATTGATCAGTGTACAAAATGACCGTCAGGAGCACTCACACTATATGATGACAACTATAAATTTATTTGAATTTGCCCATTTTCTTCCCTCCATTTTCATTTGGAACAGTTTGTGACCGAATGGGAGCGTGCAAAATTATGAAATAAATAAATAAATAAAAGCTTCTTGTCCTGGTACCAATTTACATTGCTGTGTGGTTTTAATTTTGGATGTTAAATTTATAGTTGGTCTGTTGGATAGTTTTTTCGACTCACCTCCCCAGTTACTGTACAGAAATCCTCCAAAAATGTTCTTTTGTACCCGAATGAAAGTCACAGTCGGTCCTAAGCCGTCGCAACTGTGGAAATGAGTACCTTTCCAATTGGGAGATGCTTTGAAACAACGCAGCCACGCACCCTCTTTCGGAAGTATAGCGTCAAGCCATTTTCCAAGAAGGTTATCGTACTCATCTTTATACCCAGAAATTGTTGTAATGAAGCGTGCTACAATGTTGAAATGTCACTGTTATTTCCACGTGACTTATCCTCATTATACAACACTAGGGAGATTGCAAAGTAACAGGATATCCCACTCGAGATACGTGGCCCATAACGCGAAAGCGCATCCCGTTTTCGGAGTATGAAGCGACTTGGAGTAGTTCTACTTCCCCTGATTGAAAGGTCAGTCCATCCCAGGTTAAGAAGTGGAAAGAAGTATTAAGCAGGCATGTTTGTTAAGGAAAAGGGGAAATACAGCTGAGGAGGCCCTAATTTTATTTGAAAAATTCCTATCGCTCTTTCTTTGTTTGATACTATCATCAACACTTAAAGCTTCCTTTCTAGCGTATTTTCTACATCCATACTTCTTCCATGAATGTAATTCAGGATTGCGCTCTGTGTTTGCCATAAGACAAGGACTGTATACCAGTTAACATTGCACCTTTGCTAGCAAGGTATGTGCGCAGTTTGAATAACCCTGGGCCCAGTTGTTCGAAGGCCGATTAGCGCTAACCCAGGGTTAAATTTTAATCTGGGTTTCTTTCTTCCTTTACTCAAAGGCCTTTTTGGGATAATTTTCAGTGTTCTATTTAAAGCGTCAAATATTCATACTCTAGACTAAAAGAATTCGACTGAATTTCCTTTTACAGCTTTTAGTCCTGAAATCAGATTTCAGACTAACCCTGGTTATCTTATCCCAGCTTTGAACAACCCGGCCCTGGATGACTGAGAATGCACGATTTTGCCGCAAATTGTTAACAAAACACTAAGAAAGTTCATATGTTTAGAATTCTTGTTTTACCCTCTGGAGCCGAATTAATTTCCGCAAAGCTCTTTTGTTACCTCAAAAAGCAAAAAAAGGGATGAGTAACATGGTTCTGCTTCTTGGCTGTTGTAACAAAAAATCTTGATCTGTCAAGGACGCTTTCCCATCCATTTTAATTATAAATTTAAAAGAACAAGCAACCGAGAGACCTCGTACTTACGCTTGTGACGCAACCAAAAGCCAAGGGAAAGTCCTTGATGACAAAGACTCGGATTACCAAGGCATTCTGATTGAACATCGACGCTCACGGCCAAGTTCTCGTAGACTTGTAAGCTCGCCATGCCTTTCACTCTGTTAAAGCCATGTTTGTTAAAGACCCCTGACGTTGAGGAGAGAAGGTCATATGTCATTCTGGAATTAGAGGCGCTGCGTCTTCTAAAATCCCAGTGGGCGACTTCTGAGGAAGAAAACAGAAAACATAACGGTTATATCAGTAGGAAACGTATTGGCATAAATGCCTGGCTTGATGTACCGTAAATGAATGAAGGAGGGTATAACAGGATAATTCAGTATCATATATACCAACTGAGTTGATAACGTAAATTGGCCACCGTAAAAAGGAATAAAGCTGACGTTTCGAGCGTTAGCCCTTCTTTCATCGCTCCTGAAGAATGGGTAATGCTAGAACCGCCAGAATTTAAACTCTTTACGGCGGCCAATTTACGTTTTCTACTCAGATGATATTACTTAGTTACCTTGATGCAACATAGTTTCGATTTGTAATGACACAAACCTTGAAGGTGAATGTCTTATAGTGGACATACATATCTTGTAAGTTGCTTTTACTTTTTAATGATATACATGGGAAAATAGCGTGCGTCTAATTGGCTGAAAACGATTGCATTTTTCCTGCAACACGAATGCAAAGTTGTAACACGAGTCAAAATTTTAAATAGCGCGCGCTGCCAAAGTTTCGTCCGGCTTGACTTAGTGTGATGCGTATTTCATGTAAATTATTACCAAGAAACAACATGATTTCTCGAGCAATTTGTTGCAAATAAGCACTTGTAAAAATTTTAAAGACTACAAACTGCAATTTCGGTGTCTTTGAAAAATTTTCTTATTCTTTTTAACACCGTAGTGTGCGAGAAATCATGTTGCCACCAACGAAGTTGACAGTCAATAGGAAGGGAAGGAATGGTGACCAGACGGAGTCATTCCTCTGATGGAGGGAAGAAAAAACTGCTGAGCTAACATGTAGCAGTATCCTGAGCAATATGCTCGTAAGACATGGTCAGTTGTTTTCTCCTTTAATTTATAACTCTCACCAAAGAAGTTGCAAACAGAAGTATTCTCTTTGAGGACAGTTCCTCTACGCCATAGATAAACCTCTGACCATGGTACGACATTTCCGGTTATAGACGAGCATGCATGCGCTATTTTTTCAATCCGGGAAACATCATCGATGTACTCGTCCCACATGTTAAATCTGCTCATATTGCCTCGGAATTTCCCAATGATCATGAACCCTTTTTCAGTGCTATAGTCAGTCCCCAGATCTACACCTTCCAATTTCTCTACGCCGTCAGAGTAAAATGTCCATTTGCCATCCGAGTAGGACCTTGCGATGCACATGTGATGCCAAAGACCATCTGAAAGGACTTCATCTTGCACGTTAAAGATACTGAACATGTGAAAATAATTTATCTGAGATTTTGTTTAAAATTAAATAATGATTTTATGGAATGGTAAGTATTTATGCGGGTTCTGCGTAACGATTCAATTCCAAGCTATTGTGTTAGGTTGCGGTTGAACTCGGGTTTAGTATAATGCAATTTAATTTTACTAATATATCTGAGAGAGGAGAAAAGCGATATTCGAAGATAATCGTTTGCACTGCGAACCAATGATTAGTTTTAGACAGTGCTGTACGCTAAAGGATAAAAAATTGACATCCCTTGCGAAATAATCATGAAAGCAGACCTATCCACTCACTTCTGTTCACTATGCACGTGCAAAGAATAGCTGCCGTTGTCATGAAAGGAGAAGCTCAGGAGACTTTCATTTTTATAGTTATGAAGCGAGAAAACTGTTGACCAGCCTGGAGTTTTTTCGGTCTTCATCCACCAACAAGCTGTAGCATCTTGAAGGTCAGTGATGTAGGGGAGCAGCACGTAGTCTGATGACTCCCCGCTAAAGATCAGCTCGTACGACCATTGACGTTCTGTAAATGACGAAAGGAAGATGACTAAATATTCACCACTAGCCACCTCCACGTTGGTGAATAGTTGTTGAATATAATGTACCACTGGTGTTCGATCGCATAGGTTTGCATTATTCCTAATGTTTTAAGTTTTTTTATATCGCAATGGATTTTATACTGAACTTTTTCTAAATCATTTAAGCCTAAGGGAGGGAAATACAAAAAATATTCAGGTGAAAAGATTTCCTCCGGTTAGAAATGTTTCTTGAGCCCTTAGGTGTTCGTTGCTGTCTAAAGCCTCTTAAGTCTTTAAACTTAGGCCTAGGGGTTGTATATACAAATAAACCCCAAACAAGCAATGTTTTTCGATGTTACCTCGACGAGGTTTGACTTTCATTGAGGATTCCTTGAGTGAATGATAATATCCTTTCCAGTGATACCAGATAACACCCTCGGCATATTCATTTTTTCCATATCGACCATTTAGATTTGATTGATGGCATTCTTTGTACCACCAAGCCCCTGTGTATTTTTGTGCACAAGCATAAGGATCGTGAACATCATTATCTGAGTCCGGCGTGCTGAACATCATTCCGTTGTGAACAGCTAAGGAATCCCCTGCTGTTCCAGAGAACTCTGTTACTCTAACAACATACTTCTCAGCTTCCAAACCAACTTGAAAAGAATTATAAGACGCATGTGCTGTCAAATTGGCTTGGTCTTTGAGCTCGATTAATAGCTGTGAGCTTTGTGAAGTTATTTTGTGGATGTTGTCATTTCCCAGCCAAAATTCTGACGTCAAGTCTCCAAATCCATTTTTATAGCTAGTCCAATTACGATAAAAGTCAACAGAACCATCCAACCGTTGCTGCAAGACAGTCCAGCCGCCTCCGTTTGTTTGCTGGTCGCAGAAGACTGTTATGAATCTTCCTCTGTCCGGATTAATGCCATAGACGCCACTGTCAGTGTAACCTTTGTGAAGCAGATCTAGGCAGTCGCGTCCATGAACTACCGAATTAAAGACGAACAAATTTAGGAATGAAAAATATAGGTCTTACTATGTAAAAGGGAGTCCTTTATTTAGCAGTGCACTGTACTGAATGACTGAGGCGCCGTAATGGGTGCTAATACATGGTAGAACTACTCTCGAAAATGGCAACCTCTCAGTTATGCATCTTGGAATATTTTAGTATCAATTTATCAAATTCTTTGTCTGCAACCAATTGTAATCTTCTCCATATTCAGCTGATCTTGTTTTTATGGTGTTTTTTTTTTCCTTTTCGTGTTCTTTGTGTCTTAATGGTTATGTTCGAGATGAGGGAAGTTTCACGCATCATGAAAAATATCGACAGGTGGCTCGTTGCGAAGTCCGACGTCTAATTAATTGTGACTCGCTTGACGCGTTGTTCTTGATAGAGGATCAAAGATCATGTGGATATTAGTTGTGAGTTTAAGGGTGTTAATTTCTGGCCATGCAATGACGGCAATCTTCATGTTTTAAAAGGCCCTGCACTACATTTTCTTACCCGAAGGGAGTATACTTGTGATTTCCAAAGCAACTCCAACTCCAGATAAAGAGGCGATGATTTTTGCGTTCAATAATAGATTTTTTATTAGCAATAGAGAAAACAAGTGAGTTTACGATTTTCGGTGACCTATCTGATGAAAAGACTCACCAAGAGGTACAGGGTTGAAGTTTATGTCAAATCCTCTGCTTTCTACAACGTAGTCTGTGTGGAATGTGATGAGTAGAAACCGACCGGTTACAATAAACGTTTTCCCAGTCTTCTCGCCACAGAACTTTCCAAAAACATGATTGGTATCATTAGCAATCGTTAGATAATCGTAGCTACAAAGAAGTAAAGAAGACGGTTTTACCCTAAGAAAGACTTTATTAACGTTTATGCAGGCCCAAGGAGCTTCTGACGTTTTAAATTATCTCTAATTGAGCATGATCCCGATCATATTGTAACACCATTACAATGTATTCCTAACGGTGATTTTGAGCCCAGATGTGCATTGTTGCTCCGAACTCCTTTTGCTAGTTCCTTATCACTTTTCTAAGTTCAGAACGACATCTGTGGCCCAATTATCAGCTGGCAGGAATGTGGACCAAAAGATCCGAGTTTAAGCCTCGATAAAGGTGTTTGAAAATTTTGCAGTTCTGTACGAGGGAGTTTACGTCTTTCCATTCTTCATATTGATTGATGCGATTAAAGAAAATGCCGATGAATTCTGATAAGCGAAATGATTCTCGCAACGTTGATTTAACTGAACGGTCGTTGGATCGATTGATTATTGATTGATTTATATTTATTGATTAACTGACTGACTGAAAGAAAGAAAGGATGAAAGAAAGAAAGAACTATGGATGGATGAATGAATTGACGGAAAGACGTGTGGAAGAGCGAGCGGACGGGCGGAGGGTTCGATGGATTGATGGATTACTCCTTGGATGTGAAAATCACGAGCTTGTTTCTCATACTCCTATATAGGCTTCTTGTTCATGGATAACCCAACAAACTACAGTTACCTGCAAGAATTATGAAACTCCAAGGAAAAATCGATAAAGGAAATATTCATCGCACTGCGTCTTGGAATAGGAATTTTATAAACACAATCATGTCTTCCTGTGTAGTTACTTGGATATCCAGGACTTCTCAATGTATTTTTCACGACTGGCTCACAGACTGAAAGATAATAAACCAAGGAAACTACTCAGGTAATTAAAAACGGGAAAGCGATCACCTGGCGGCGAGATTTTCAGTTTGAGATCCCTTGTTAAACCTCCATTGTTTAGGCCTTACATTCTACTTTGACGTTTTCACTTCCTGCGACCACACATTTTAAAATAGAAACTTGAAAATGAGGCTAAATAATAACTAACTTGCTGTGAAGTATATCCGAAATCCTTTTCTTTGAAGAGCGTAATCCGAGTGGAATGCAACGATTGCTTTTTCCCCAGTCACAGTGATAGCCTGTGATGCGATTTGCCCGCAGAACGTGCCAAATGTTTGGTTTTTCTCGTTAGAGATCTTCAGGTAATCTGTAGAACTACAGAAGAAAAGGATTAGAGTTAAAACTTTAAAAATGCTAGTTCACCGCAACCTCTGCGTTTGTACTTACCAAAACGAACTTTCCTCAAGGTGAAAATCTTGAAAGGTGAATGTCAGGGCCTTGTAATGAAGAATGGGAATTTCGTAGACACAATCCATATTTCCTGGATAATCTTTGGGATATCTGGGACTTTTAATTGAGTAATACGCTACCACTTGACAATCTTGAAATAATGAAGCAATCATATAACCGTCGTGGTCTTCAACAGATAACGAGTTAATACATAAAATTTTGTCATTTAGATAACGTAAGATCATCCGAACGACGCTTCGTCAGTGTGCCATAGGTGTGAGTGTTTTCTAATACTCCTGTAAAGTGTGACGTGTACGAGTCGTAAAGGGTACCCTATACCCACAACTGTCACCATAAGACATACCAATAATATGCATTATACGATTCGACTACCGGTCGTTAATCGATCCTCACGATTTGTCGATTCGAACGTATCGGCAAACGTTATTTCCAATCGTATCAGTTAGTGGGTATTGGACAGACTTGAAAGGTGTGACACAAAGTTTTTAACTTCAACTTTGTCTAGTTATTTTACCGATTACTAATATAAAGTGCCACTGACAGTGATGGCTGAGATTTAAAGAATAACTTAAAAGACAGTGGCTAGGCCTTCATTCCTAATCAGTGCTTAGCCATTCATTTCTTTCGGCCAATAATCAAGTGATCTTTTTCTCGGTGGCTTAGCAAATAAATTTAATCGTAAGATAATACGAAGTGACAATCGCATTTTGATTGGTTATTTCTATAATCTATTAGAGGACAAACGCATAGATTAGGTCACCGATAACAGAATGTTGCTTCCTTATTCTTTAAATGATTACGTATCTCGCCGTGTGTCTGTTTAGTAGCCGATCAAAGTAAGCGTCATGATGAATACGCGGCTGTACCTCGTGTACCACTAATTTGTTCTTTCCATATTTTGACGTTTTCTGTGATTTATTGCAGAACTGACGGACGGCAACATGAGTTTTTGTAAAACTGAAACTGAAGTGGATGACAGTAAACAACAAGATTGCATTTTGCCATCCGGCTGTTCAGTAATAGATTGTAGATGTTCTTAATCTGAGCTCCTCTATGGTTTATTGATGAACAGGCGCACGGCAACACGGAATCCATTTAAATGTTAATGTAATTTTTGCGTCTGTCTTCCAAAGGATCACAAGTAATAACCAATCAAAATGCCTGTATAACTAAGTTCCTCATATAAAAAAACCGTTCTGTACAGTACCTGGACATCCGTAGAGCTCCACTCTCATTGAGACCTGAGTGTTATATTGTGTTGGGTAAAAACGTATGTAACGCGCGGTGATTCCTGGGTATAACTCGTGGAAGACAACAGTGTTCTTGTCTGTGTTTGCATCAAATTCCTTTGTTTATGATCAAAGTAAAAAATAGTGAAATCATCACTTAAAAGAAATGTAAATTGTGGACACAATAACAAGAATTCATGGCCAGCACATGCTTAATGCTTTATCCAAAATTTTCCTGCTGGTTGCTTAAAAAAAGAACCGATTTTAGTTTCTCTCAACAAACGTTGTTCGAATTTTCTTTCGGTAGCAATTTGATTGACAGGAGTGATACGATTCGTATCACCTATTTATCTTTAGTATCACGCATTGCGTAACATTTCCTATACATGCCATGACGATATACCGTAGATCGGCGAAAGCTTGAATAAAAAAGAAGTGCAATAGCTTAAGGCCTTAATCGTATCGTCCATTCAAGCTTTCTTTAATTTTGACGGTTACTGCGTTTCTGTCGCTGATTTAACGCGGATTGGTGCTGCCCCCTCTGTTTTGCTTGAGGAAATTTATCACAGCTTCAAGTTATTTTCAAACAGCTCGAGTCATAGGCCTGTGTGATTGTTTATGCCTCCAGTGAGACCACTTTGTTCTGAAACCCTTCATGCCATAAAAACGCTCGCACATATGCAGACGTTTTATATATGGCTGACATTTTCAGTTAGTACTATGATCGCCTACCCCCCCCCCCCCCCCCCCCAACTAGGATTATATTTTCCCTAAGATGTATTTTTCAATTTTGTTCAATCATTTTGAGAAAGGTTCATCATTCATTTAAAAGATAGCCATGAAGATTTTCACCTTCTCAGTAGTTTGGTCTTTTTCCTTGTAGTATTTAAAGTATTCTCCTTCGCTCCTGTATATCAGCTTGTACTTTATTACCCATAATGATAATACATTATGATAGCAACCTTGAGTAGCGACACGTGTTACTCGGTATTGACTGACCAAGTCAATCTGGAGCCATGGATTGTCATCCAGAAGGGTTGGCACCCAACCTCCTGTCCCGAATGTGTTTTCAAAGTAAAGTCGTGCCCGAGCTGGGCCAGTCCTCTCAGCATACTGAGAAGAAGCAGTAATTTTTTCATCGAGGATTACGCCATTCTCCATTCCAAGAGCTTCTTGACATTCTGTGGATGGACAATTTAATAGTGCAGTTATGCTGACAGTATTTTCGTGATCACAGAAATGGTTGAATTTAAAAATTTCACATTGATCGCCGATCCCTTAGACGCAAAAAAACCTTTTAATGGGTTTGTTCGACTAAGCTATCGTTGAAGGTTTCTTGAGAAGTCGAGCGAAGTACCATGATGATTGCCATCCATCTTAACTTTGTGTGAATACTTTTCTACGAATATAAGTACAGTGCTCTTTAAGGAGCACCGAAATTTAGACCTTTGTAAAATACCTTCGCATCCATATAAATCCACTCTCATTGATATATGAATATGCCAACCTCCTGGGAGAAAACGGACATAGCGAGCTCTTATTGGTGGAACTAGGTCATGTGATACAACAGTGTCAGCGTCTGTGTTTCCATCGAAAACCTAAGTAAGAGAGAACGCTGTAAAATGGGTTCCTTTAAAGGAGAAGAGGAAATATTGAAGGTACTTTTCTGCGATATCAATTCTTGTTAATACCCATTTTCCCCGCTCGCTCACATCTTGTGATACCTAAACAAAAAGCTTAAAAATAAGCGAGGAAGCGGCAAACTAATAGCTTTATCACTTCTGAGATCGATTCTCATAAAATTATCCCACGAATTTCTTATAATCTTGCCTTTGAAAATTTGGTATCGAATCCAGTCATAACTGTGCCTGCTCACCTTTTCAATGTCTTGATTGTATTCCTTGTAGCGCTGCAAGTTTGCTACATCATCACCATACTGCAGTCTGTATTGAGTCACCCACTGGTCGCTGCCATTTCGTCCTTGTGTTGCCACGCGTGTCACTTTAACATAGTATGACCCCAAGTCAACTTGAAGCCACTGGTTGGTATCATTGTGTAAAGCCGCCCAAGAACCTTCCTGATGAGGCAGATTTTCTTCCAAGTAGAGTCTTCCAAATTTAGGAGCTAGATTGTCATTCAGTTTCGATGAAGCAGTAAGCTGATCGTCAGGAATTTTTCTAGTCTCCACTCCTAATGACTCTTGACACTCTAGACAATCAGGTTGGTAAAATTGATAACAAAACGTTGGTGTTAATGCATTTGTAAAGGCTTTATAGGACACCTATGCTGATTTGATCTTGGAGCTAGGGAGATGCGCTTTGGGAAATTCACGGTTAGTTCTTTGCAACTTCACAAGCCAGCTCAGTCCCAGCTATAGTTATATGTTTTGCCTTGTTTTTCTTTTCGAAAAGGAATGAGTAGGAATATGAAGTAACTAGGGGGTTAGGGATTGCCTCCCATACTTCGAAATAGTTTATATTATTTCCACGTTAGCCAATCGGTACATTACCTTGACAGCCATAGAGTTCCACCCTCATGGATATGTGACCTTCCCAGGAAACAGGTCGAAATCGAATGTAACGAGCCCTGATTGGTGGATATAAATCACGTGACACAACTGTATCGCGGTCTGTGTTTCCAGTAAATACCTGAAGTAACAAAGTGAGATGAAAACTAAATGGAAAAGCATAATTCCCTACAGCGCCAGAAACTGTCACCAATGAGCAAGTCGCTATTGATTTTCAGTTATGCGCATATGGCGATTGGCTGAGAGTGGTTGCACAGAGAAAAATCAATGCAATCCCTCGTTTCCTTTGACTTTAAATTGAAAACTGCAAGGATGTGTCTCACCTTGTGAGTATTTTGTTCTTCTTCCGTGTAGTATTTGAAGTTTTCGCCGTCGTCACTATACTGAAGTTTGTACTTAGTCACCCACTGACGATAGCTAGTACCATTTCTTCCCTGTGTTGCCACACGAGTGACAGCTGTGTAAACAGTCCCCAGATCAACCTTTAACCACTGATTCCCATCGTTTAAGGCAGCTGACCAACATCCTTGAAAGTCGTTGCTGGGTTGAAGGTTTAATCTGCCTTGTGCAGCAGAATGATTCGCATCCCATTCAGAAGAAGCACTGATCTGGCCGTCAGTTATTGCACCACTTTCCATACCAAGACCATCTCGACACACTGAAAGTTTGAAAAAACAAACATGATTTAAGATCATAGATGACGCTAGTAAAGCTCTAGGGTACCCCTCCTTGCGCTTATCTCTTTTTTATCAGAGAAAACCATTGACGTTTTTTGACAGTAGATAAAATTAGACCATCTTCGCTTCTGCTGTGGAGTGCAAGGCATTCTATTTTTGGTCGTTCTTTCCGCCTCTCTCCACGTGATGTTATTTTTGTCGAGTTCATCTTGAAAAGTGTGCCTCCTAGACTGCTTTGGACAGCCTCTTCCTCTGGAACCCTGTAGATTCTATTCGAGGACAGAAAAGGTGATGTTATTCCCAGGCTCCCGGAGTGTATTTCCAAACCATTTCATTTTACATTAATCTTTCAAAATTTGGAGATTGGAGACCATGTGTGCTGCTGTGGCACTTCCCAGTACCATTTTTCCTTATTTTTCGACCACACATTTTTTAGCATAAGCGGCGTCATAAGACCTCAAGCATGCAGATGAAAATCTTTTGTTCAAGATGTTTCAATGAATCATCTTCTGTTTATCTTGGTTGCTGCTCTGTTAAGACAAAATTCTAGTTAAAATAAAAAACAACAAAAAAAAAGACCCAGCGCCGCGTTACGATGTTTTAGAGAAAGGAAACGAATCGACTTTCGGTTTTTCCAAGGTACAAAATCTGCTCTTGTTATCAATGTGGTTGTTTTAAAGACTGGTTTTTATGAAAACAGTCTACTGTACATACAATCATGAATTTACAGTTTAAAAGATCATTTGATGTTTGTGTTCAGTACCTTATGAGAAAGAGATCTCACACCATACCTTGACAGCCGTAGAGTTCCACTCTCATCGATATGTGATCAAACCATTCTCTAGGTCGAAATCGAATAAAGCGTGCTCTGATTGGTGGGTTTAAGTCATGTGATACAACATTGTTCTTGTCACTGTTTCCAATAAAGAGCTAAGACGGTAAATTGATAAAAGTTAACCATTAAGCCATGTAAGGATTTCAGTGTTAAAGGGATGATGCACTAACGTCACTAGTGTCGCCAATTTAAATCGAAAGATTCATTTTTTTAAAATATGTAATGCCAGATCATAATTATTTTATTTAGCTTATGCAAGAACCCTGCGGGGAAATACAAAGTATTGTATGATTGATCCTGTATCTCCTTCATTGAAGCTTGAAAAAAGAGTATTACAAAATACGTTCTCTAACACATGGAGTAATACCACTCAAGAGTGTTTCTAGAGAAATTTCGTTTGAATGTTCAAATAACAGGGAACTTAGGACTTGATTAATATACTAATAAAGATATTTCTTGGGGTTTTCTTAATCAAATCCAGGAAAGAAGAGGATTGGTAAATTCTCATGTCTGAAATTAAGACACAGTGGAACCACCACGAACTACTCATCAATGAACGCATGGCATTATTAGTGGGACAGTCTCATCAGTTATAATATGTTACGTTATTGAATACGATCTTTTTTATGAGAGAGCCTTTAATCGTACCTTGTTTTCGTAGCTACCTTCTTCCCTATAGAACGTAAAATTAAGGCCGTTGTTACTGTACTGCAGTTTGTATTTCATAACATACTGCATCACGTTTTGTCTGCTCTGTGTTGCAACACCTTTCACCTTGAAGAACTGACTGCCCAGATCAATCTGGAGCCATTGATTGAAATCATTTGTGGAAGCTGCCCAAGCTCCATCGTTCCCTTGCGGCCCCTGATAGTGCAGTCTGCCATGAATAGCGGCAAGAGAGCTGCTGTGTTCTGAAGAGGCACTGATCTGTCCGTCCAGAATTTTACCGTTTTCCATGCCCAGGGCTGCTTTACATTCTAGAATTCAGTGGCAACATGTTTTACAGGA